CATATCTCAGGCATCGAACATGCTAGAAAATAAAACGCATATGTTTAGAAACCTCATAAAATGTGTTTTTAGAATTTATACTTAAACATATAAAATTTGAAAAAAAAATTTTTTGCAAATTATCCTTATTATTATTATTTATTATTCAAAACGACTGTTCCTTTTTCGTGTTCCTGTTTTAAATATTTTTCTTCAACTTTCATATTTGATAGTAATGATTGTTTTAATAAGACTAAGTTCCTTAGACTGAAAATAAAGTATATACCTAGTTTTGGCTAAAGAATTGAGCGCATTTATAATAAAAGTTACCTGTGTACCATCAGTATCGTCATCATTGTTTTTAATAGTGATGTTTGTATGGAGGACTTTTGTCCCAGTTAGTTTTGGTGTTTGGAGAATTGTTATTGAAGATGGTGCTCCCAGTATACTACTATACCGCATTAATGGAAAAAAATGACTATATCATTTTTTATCTCTTTAACTTTTGTCCTTTCATTGCCGCGAATATGGAATCTTTTGTTACACCAAGCAGACGTGTTATTAGTTTGTTTTTGCCTGGCATTTTCTCCTAAAAGATGCATTATAAAGACTTTCAAAAATTTTTTATATACAGAACTCATACTTTGACAAGCGTTTCAAAAATCTAAATAAGATTTGAAGGTAGCTTTTCTATAAATTAGATAATAAATTGAATTAAAAGTATAATCAGCGTATTGCAGCTGAAAGACTATACCGTTCTTGAACCCACTATGAAATCACCAGTTCAATACCAAAATGATACCACTTTATTTCATTTTTATCAAACATTACAAAAGTGATAGGGCAGAGCTCGCTAAACATTATTCAGTGTTACTTACTGTGCAAAACAACTTGAAGCTGATCGATATGCGACCTTAGTTGAGAAACTGGTTTCGTTTCAGTTTTGTGAACAAGCTCTAAATATATAAAGGATGATATAAACGTCGCATGTATTTTTAATTGATTCTCAAGTAATAATCCTAAAAGAACTCCTTTATAATGTGCAACATTATAATCGCTTATAATGATCAGCACATATATGTTTTCAAACACTTTGAGTTTTAAAAGTGCTTCAGGTCATCCTAAAGTGTTTTTGTTCTAGGTTCCTCATCTTTTTAACCTTGTTTCATATCACGATGTCAGAACAAAGTACGTGAACGATACTGTTAGTTTTAAACAAAATTAAGGAATCATTCGAATTGACTAAAATAAAAACATATTTCATACAACGACTCATTTAATATCTAATCTGAACACTTTCCTTCACGCGAAGATATTATTCCAAGAATCAGAAAAGGCTTTTTAGCACATACAATATCTACACTTTAATACCATGTCCAAAATCGCGCGACATCTGTTGTATCGCAAACACATTGCATGAATTCGTATTGAACGAACATCGAACAGAAAAGAAAAAAAATTATCGTCGGCGGCCATTTTTGGCACAGCAGTTAACGTCTTACAAGTGCTATGACATGAGGACTGACGACTAAGTGCATCCGCTGTAGTGTCACTAAAACATAGAGGATATTCAAACCGTTATAGGTAGCATCGGTCTAAAAATATTTCTGAATTCAAACCAATGCTCCCGACTCCCTTCGGTCGGCGTTCGCAGCCACTATGGCTGAGAAACGCTGTGTACTTCTCTGATTTCACAGATAAACTGTCTAATGTAAATAAAGCTAAAAGGACACCCTCTACAGATCCTAAGAAGGTTGGAAGTATTTCTAATCGATTCGCTATGATAGATTATCTATACACTATAAGTTTGATTATCCGTAGGCGACTTTTTTTGTATTATCACAGTTGGCTGCTATCTGACGACATCTATCCCCGGCCTACAGAAAACGTTTGCTTAGTTTTTTTCTCCCTGCATCAGTTGATATTTCAGATCATCTCTTTGAATATTTTCTCTTTCGTAGTTAAAAAGAAATTCTTCATGCTTCTCGCTTATGATTGGCGTATATATTTCTTTCTCCATTTCTTTTTACATGATCTCTCGTCTTTCTGTTCATCTGTTATATTAATGTAAACATTTCCATGTATGCTGATACAAGGTAATGCTCGTCTGCACTCGCTCGGTCCCTTGACTTTAGGAACTTATATCTGCGAAGGAGCCTCCATCACTTCTGAATCCACGACAACGCTCACGCCTCCCTTCGGTCGGCGTTCGCTAGGGCACTATGTAAAATATGTTCTAAATTTTTCTTTGATTTGTTGTATAAGGTTCGTAATCTCATGAAAATGTAAAAGGTTTTCTCGAGATCCCACTAAGATCTCCAGTGGTCTAAAAATATTTCTGAATTCAAAACCGCGTGATAGAAAATCAATTGTATCTTTATTTATCAATGGAAATTTATTACATCAAGTGTATATTTTTAAATACTTAGGTTTTACACTAGATCAATCTCTGTCTTTCGCATCGCATGTTAAGGATGTGTGTCTCCGTGCACGTAAACGTTTAGGTGCTCTTAGATTGGTGTGTGGCAGCCATTGGGGACTTTATCCTCATACTGCTGTTTTTGTTTACAAAACGTTCGTTGTCTTTTAATTTACACTTCTCCCGTCCTTCACTATATCTCGGACTACAGTAGGGTTCAACTGCAACGCGTGCAAAACTCTGGATTAAAAATTTATGTTCATCTTCCATCCTGGTTCTCTACTCGCGCTCTTCATGAAATCTCGTCTTGTTTAATGCTAAAAGATTATGTTACAAAATTATCTCGCTCTTTTACCTTTTATAATTTTCTCTCCAATGATCTCTTTTAAAATATGTTTTTAAACTTTTTCTCACATGATACAAAATTTGAAACAAACATTTTACGTCTACGTTTGAACCCGACTAAAACAGTTGTAAATAAACTTTTAAATCTGTAATATTCTTTTTTGTTTGTTTATCTATCTTGTATCGAATATCTCAAAGCCGGTGTTTTTTCGTTTTTATTTATTTTATTTTGTTTATTCTCCTTTCCTTGTATCTTTAAACACGTTGTAATAATCAAATGGTGACCCGATGTCATGAAAATTAAATGCTAATTGTACTGAATTTCGTTTAATAAATAGTCTTATTCCAAAAAAAACTATTCGATAAACCAATATCAATCACGTTAATCAGTTTATTCAGTGCACGTTTGTAAAATAAATAAATTTATGTATGATTCTTTTTTTTTGTCGATAGAACAACATTTTAAGATTTGATATCGTTCATTCATTGTTTTTTAATCATAAATGACGAACTTATTCGATTTTGAAGAAGATTAGACAGTAAATAAAAATTAAATTAAGAGTAAAGGATATTTATAAGAGTCGAATGGTTTCTCTTTCTTGATTTCAGCCATATCATATGACAACTTTCTTTTATCTTTTAATCATATGGTGGTAAATATTATGTAATATGCAGATCCGATATCGACGTTAGCTACAAATAACTGTAGTCAACATATCACTCACGGAAATCGTTGATATTCATGGTAGTGATTTGTGCATAATCAGACATAAGCACCAATAGAGATGAAGAGTTAAAAAAGTTTACTGTTGTGATGCTATTACGATACGTAAAATAGTAAAGATTATGCAAATATGATCATTTGTAAACAGCTCTTCACTTTATCTTTCGGATAGTAAGATCAAAAACTCTAATTCATAGAATTCTATATTGATATGAAAGCTAGCAAAGACAATAAATTCAATTCATAAAATGTCTAAAAAAAATATTAGTATGAAACATGTATTTGATAGGTAAGGAGTCATTATCATCCCGATCTTTCTTTTACATTCTTCTTCCTTAGTTATGTAACTATTTCCTTCAATCTAGATCAGCCAGTTTAGTAACAAAACAATAGTTATTTTTCTCTTTCTTTTACTGTAATTATTTTACTATGTATGGACCTACGATTTCTAGGTTTTTGATTGAGCGTTTTATGTACTATGCAATATAGACTTGCCTGCAAGCATAGCTGCGTTTGTTTGTTGAAGTTAAAGACAACTATTTTTTAATAAACAAGAACACGTTTAAAAAAAAAGACCTACGATGGATTTGTCACAGTCTTTCTCTTTATGTATATCTTGTATAAATATGTAGTTGTTCGTTCAGTTAAAGGCGATTCACTCGAAGTAACATCATCGAGTAACATCTCCATTTTATTCTTTCGTTTGTTTTCTCTTCTTTCTTTTTAGCTTTAGTTAGGTATTAGTTCCCGGTCTAATCAACCTAACAGTATTGTACATGGACACATTAATATAAGTCGTACTTTTATAAATTTGTATTTATTGTTGTTGTTTTAGATATATTTTTTCTTCCATTCATTTAACATTATATTCTTTATTTATTCCATTAGTTAAGTTGATCTAATAATATACAAGAATGTCACTAATTCTGATCGATGAAAACCAGAGGTGCAACCGGTACCGGAATGAATTATAAGGCCGACTGGTATACTGGCATGAATTTTAACGGCGACTGGTATACCGGCATTAGTATGAAGTATAATCAATCGGTCGACATTACAAATAATTGCTGAATTATTGGGTCCAGTAGTTTATATAATTTATGATAAAATGAAATGTGAGAATATTCCAGTTTATTATTATAGTTTTCATATATTAGATGCAGATTGTAAAAGAGAAAAAGGTGAAAATTATAATTATTGTATAAGACATTTTACAAGAAAACGTGAATTTGATCCGATGATGTTTGAAAAATTTTATCAATTATTGAATCGTATATGTATTAGTGATATTAAAATTGATTTTATGCATTTATTGAATTTTTTAATAGATAAAAAAGATCGCAATGCATTACAACATGAAATGATAAGCAAATATATACGTAAGAATAATACAAATGCTATTCATTTAGCGGACTCATTACGTACGTATGATGTGTTGACAAGATGGTATATTTAGAAAAAAGAAAAAGTATGTTTTACTGTTCATGATTAGCAAAAAACAACAACAAAGAATGAATAAAAATGTTTATTTTTAGGAGGAAGCCAAAGCGTTAAAAAAGCGAAATGTAAAAGCGCTTAAAGATATTCTTGAAAATATGGCAAAAGTCACTTTTCGTACAACGTGGCAAGAAGCACAAAGATTGTTGTTGGACAATGTGGAGTTTGTTCACGATACAGAATTACAGAGTAAGTTTTTTAAACAAATCAGTTTTAATTGTGTGTTCAGTCTTTCTTATTTTTTCTAGATATGGATAAGGAAGATGCATTAATCGTATTTGAAGATCATATTCGACAGTTAGAAAAAGAACATGAAGAAGAAATGGAATCACAAAGAAAATATATTCGACGAGCGTATCGAAAAAATCGAGAAGCATTTTTGGTAGGAGATTTCATCGTCCGAGCAAATTAGAAGAGCGAAAGCGTGTCTACATACTCAAAATAAAAGACGAAAAGACAAGAAAAAAAAGAAAAAACAAACGATTCAACAAACGAATCAGACAGTATGTATCACGCACGTAAGAATACTGTTAAAGAGTTAAACTAAAATTATATACACTTTGGAATGTCACATTCTCCAAGTAGATATTTGTGTTCATTTTGCCTATTTCTTGTAACTTTTTCGTTTAGGATACGGATGAAAGTGC